TCATTTTAAAATGTTATTGCAATCTCACACACAATCCTCACATGCTATCTCTCATGTCTTTCTGCTACTGTGGGTAAACTAATATTCTTTGCCGCTCATTAATTTTAATCAAGATAGCATGAATTGGGCTTCTATGTTGAAAATCCCTGAATTTTTTAGTATAACCTTTTTGGAGTTCAAGGTTATACCTTATAAAGCATTCCCTTGTGCATCATTGGGCTTAGCACTTCACAAAACAGTAAGTTATTTAGAGTTCTTCGCCCTCCTCTTAAGCTCTTAACCTTCTGACTACAGGTTTGGTTTAAACCTCAGAATCTTAGAAAATATCAGGCAGGCTATTCTATCTTTCAACAGTTGGATAAATCAAGAACCAGTTATAAATCTAAATAGAAGAAACATTGCACAAACTTTTAGTAATTCTCCTAATTACATGTGAATCTCATGTATGATTATACTAGCTATTGGCTTAGCCCCATGGAGGCTTTTGAAAAACATAAAATATAGCCTCTTGGGAAAGCTATCAGATTACACCCCCCACCCTATAAAGATGTCTTAAATGTGGAATAGTATTACATTCCCTGTCCCCCTTATCAATTCTCATAACTTAATAAAGCTGATCAATTATTTAAACTGGCTTATTCAATGTCAACTGAGAAACCTAATTATATACATTTTGTTGTAAAGCTATTTTGAAAATATCTCTTGATAGCTAACATTTTAGTGGAGTGGGAATGATATATTGGGTACATCCTATAAATGAGAAAAAAGTATAAATAGTACCTACATCCCAAGAACACTATTTGTTATACATGCGCTTCCAACAAACCCTTTTCAAATATCTCTTTTTATTCATAAGGAAGAGAAAGAAGAACAGTTATAAAGTTAAACCAAAGGGATTCTGAAGCAACCTAGACAAGAGATGCCAGTTTAAACTAGGAGATGGCTGTATTCTTACAGTGTGTCCCCAGCCAGTGTTCCTCTTATCTATGGCATCTGTCCCACCAGAATCCTAGAAAAATTAGAATGGTTATTTTTGGGATCATCCCATATTTCTGGACCTCTCTCCAACCCTTTCCCCCCATTCCCTAATGTATCCAGTGTCCTAGCGTCCTTTGCCCAAGACACTTAATTCTTTCCTTAATCAAATGTTTAATTCTTTGTGTATGTAATAGCATTTCTTAAAATGAGATAAGAGCAACCTTTAATATAAAGATGTGATGAAACAAGTAAGCGAAGAAGTGTAGTTTTGTTAGCCAAATGAGTATTTTATATTTGATTGGTAGAATATATCCAGGGAAATAAGGAAAGCCAGATATAAAGTAATTTAGTTAAAATGTAAATGTTATCACATTTATGTTGATGTGTCTTGGAATGTGCTTTCACTGTACTATTTTTGAAGTTTGAGAGGCAGTGTAGTCAGATATAATCACTGGGCTTTCCAGAAGTAAATCCTATTTCTCTTACTGTACTATACACTCCTGAAAGGCAGATGCTATGTCTAATGTCTCAATTTCTCACAAAATACCTATCTTCGGTCTTTTAAGAGAGAATACTGAATATTGTTGGAATATTTGTTTCCTCTACAAAGAACATGATTCTCATCGTCTACATCTCAAACACAGCCCTCCAAATGCCTACGCTAGAACTCATTTCTTACACCTACACGTCACACCATCCTGCGAGGCCACATTTGCAACTTCCAGTTGGACATTTACACACAAGTCCTTAAGCATTTTAAACGTTACATCACTAAAATTCAACTCACTTTTCTTTCAATCTGTTTATTTTCTTCTGTGATGGAAAAAGTGTTCTACTCTTCAGAATCTGACTCCGAGTCTCAACAGGGCTCTCTGCAATCGCTCCTGTACCCTTTCCGTCTTCATTGCCCTTCTGTTGTTGCACAGACCCTTGTTACTTCTTTCCAACGACTGGAATAACTTCTAATTTCAGTGCCTTCCTTGCATGGTGGCATTTTAAACACTGCCAGAGCCATCTTCTAAAGCATGGCTCTACTTTCATCCCCTTCCATTGGCTCTTCCACTTCCATTGGCTTCCCAGTGGCTTGGCATGGAACACTTTTCCTCGGATATCATGCACTCCCGCTAATTCCAACCCAATTTTTCTCTGTTCATAGTTTCTCTCCAACCCCCATTTCTGCCTATTTATCCAAGATTTCTCTGAAGTTGATCCGAAGTCCTTTTCCCTATTCCTCTCTCCTGTTTCTTCAAACAGGAGATTTAGTCTTCCCTTCCTCTAAATTCCCATAGCCTTTAGCTCATAAACAGACTTTCGTATGGTACTTATCACATTCTCCCTGAGCATCTGGCAGAGTGCCTATAATTGTTGGATATTCAATATTTGATAAATTACTTCAAATGGACTCCCCTCCTTTTCTTTTGTCAGTATCCCCAATACACAAATATCATTCAGGAGCTTAAGCCACTTTTAAAGTTATTTTTTAAGAGAAAAATTTTACCTACAACTTTCTTCCCCATTAAAGAAAAGAGATAATTTATAGTAGTATTTTTTTAAAGATGAAGGTGGCAGTAAATTTTCAAAATGTCTCAATATATCAAATTTCTTTTTTCTGCTGGGGGGAGAGATTTAAAAGGGGGCAGCCTTTTCTTTTATATGAGTTGGTCATAGCATCTTGAAAACCAATCTTAAAATGCTATTATTTTTTAAATGACTTATGAATTTCTATAAATACTTTTTACTTAAAGTGATAATAGTCTGTATGTTATTGTCCATAGAGAGATCTAGTAAATCCTTTATAAATCAAATGTTAGCATTGTAAATAATGTTAATATGTATTTATTACAAATAAATTTATCTACTTTTGGTGTGATGTGTTTCAAATCAATTTTTTATATTATTTTTTGTTAATTTTCCCTTTCGTTCTCTTTAGACCTTAATTTTTTTAAGAGTCACATTTAAAGATGAACCACATTGACCTGTTTTCCTCAAGCATAATTAGGGGTTGCTCTTCTCCACCCACAAATGATGTTTCCCAAATTGCTTTTACTTCCACATTTTAGTAAGTCAACCTATAGTAACATATTAATTAATTGGATGATAAAGGTTAACCACACGCATAACTAAAAGCACTCATATTATGAACTGAGAATAGAGAAAGTGTCTCATCTCAGATTGCCCTTTCCCTTGTAAATGTGCTTTCTTAACTTTCACTTTTGAGATCATCTTAAGGATTTGGGGGGAGACGGGGGAGTAAAGGGAAGAGGGGCTTCCTTAAAACCACCAAATACAATGAATGATGCCACAGGAAAAGGGGGGCTTTCAGAGAATGCGGCCTAAAGTGTATTTCTACTTGTTAGGGATATTGTTGCATGTCCTTTGTGTGTGTCCTGTGTCCAGCTCCTAGTTCCAGCAGGAAATGACAGAGATGGTCTCCTTCCCAATGTACCTTTGTTTTCCTCACTTGGGTTTCTGGCCTAAATCCATGACTGCTTTTCTAGTGCTGATCAATACTAAAGAAATTTTGAGGACCCCTTCTCTTAAAATCCAAACCATCACACAGTACTTTGCATACAGGACAGCTCTTCCTGCCACACCTCTGTGCCACAGGCCGTTACTGTCAGAATGTCATGTTCCATCAATACCTCGTTCCAATTTTTGGTTGGCCATCAGACACTGTCCTACAGGATTGGGAATATACGGCTGAGCAAATCAGACAAAAGTAAGCCTTCAGGAATTTCACATCCTAAGCAATAATGTCCATGCACCATTTAACAATTATACCTATTTCCTTACAAGAGCTGATAAGTAAAACGACTACACAGGATTCTATCCCAGTTTGTCATTTTATTGAAGTGAATTTTAAATATCTTACTGGGATTTACCCATACTTGTTAGTCCTGATAAATGTTGGAGCATCTATCACAGAGCCCAGTTTCCCCACAATTAGAAACAGAATTGCCTAAAACTGATGAAGGCTATCTCCATACTCCAATCTGAAAAGTTGTTTCAAAACCTTTCAGGACTGCCTGAGGCGCAGCAACGGCGGGGGCGTTCTCCCTCCTGGCCGCAAGGGGGCAGTTGGTTTTGAGAGGCTCGATCCTTTCATCCCTCCTCCCTAGGAGCGGCACGCCCTCCTCTCGCCTGTCCCCCCCTCCACCACTCACGCGCAGGCGCGGACTGGAGCGCGTACCGCGGAGCCGAGAGGTCACGAACTCTGACCCCCTCCAAATACACAAACCCAGAAGCTCCCTGCCCCCCCTTTCCTCTACCCTCCCCCTCCTTCATCCTCCAAGCCACCTCCTCCCGGTATTCCCCCCCCCCGCCCCCCCAGGAGCCGCCGCTGCGGGGCCGCCGGTCCACGCCCGGCGCTGGACGCAGCTCGGCGGAGAAGCCGGTAAGAAGTGCCGGGAGCGGAGAAAGCGGCCGCGGCCGGGATGGGGGTGAGGGTGGGGGTGGGGTCGGTGTCCCTTTCTCCCAACCGCCAGCCGACCCTCCCTTTCCACCCCCACCCCCAGTCCCAGTCCCGCCTGTGCCTGCGGGCTTCGGCCGGCGGGCTGGCCCGGCGGCGGGGCGCTCGGGCTGGGCTGGAGCGCGGAGCGCGGCCGGAGCTGCGGGGCCGGACGCGCGGGGCTCCGGAAAGGCTGAGGCCGCGGCCGGGGCGCGGAGCCCGGGGCCCGGAGCGGGGTCGGGCGGCGGGGCGCTGGCGGGAGTCCGCGAGCGGCTCGGCAGCCTCTCCCGCGGCGCCTTCCGCGGCGCCTCTGACCTTTCAACTGCGGGGAGAGCTTCCGTCGGGCGCCGCGCCCTCCCCGCCTCCGAGCGCCGCGCACCGCGGGCTTCCGTGGCCGGCGGGACGCCCCGAACCCCGTTCACTGGGGGCCCCTCGCTGGTTCTCGTGCTTTTAACGGGGGACAGCGTAGGCGCTGCCCTCGGACACACGTATCTTTCGAGAAATAAAAGGCAACGGCCCAAGCCGCTCCCTGCACTCGGGCATGATGGCCAAGTGTCCAATAGCCCTTTTGTTGAGAAGCTCTGCCTCCCGCTTCTGCAGATAGCGCTTGATGGATTGCAAGTGTTGCCAAGTTGTCTCGTAACCTTCACTAAGTAGGTCAGCCTGTTTAAAAAAGAAAAAATGGAAAGGAAAAGCAAAAATGAATTGAAAGTAAGGCCTTAAGGTTTTTTTGTGTTTTTTTTGTTTGTTTGTTTTTGTGCCTCTGAAGTTGTGGGTGGACCTAAGACTGAGGGTTTTTTTGTTTTGTTTTAAGACCGATATTTTTGAACAATGCTGGGTGGCTCATTGGTATGTGATGATTGTTTTTAAATTGTGCCTATATGTGCAATGGAGAGATTAAAAGGTATCTCTGTTCTTATATATTAGAAAAAAGTGGATCAAATGTAATGAATGTCATCATTCTTTGTAGGGGTTTTTAAGTCTTCTTTTAGGAGGGGTTTGAAGGAGACACAAATCAGTCAGCAAGCATTCCCAAAATTCCTTTTGCACACACAAAGTATGAAATTCCTACCCTTGGGGAATAGAAAAGAAAAAAGAAGCAGCATAGACTAATAGTATAATTACTGTCTTGGGGTTTTTTTTTTTTTGCATTATAGGATTATAGGACCCTCTGCAACCTCAAAATCTTATGAAAGCCATGGACTGGCCTTCCAGAAAAATGCACCTTTACATAAAAATTCTGGTGACTTTTGCCTCCTTGGGACTTCAAAATATTAAAGTCAACAGAATTCTGTGGATCCTAGGTAACAACCTTAGTATACACAATAAATGCTGGACCTAGAAAGATTGGATTAAAAAACCAACATCATTTGAACTGAGTTGGAAAGGTCAGGTGGAATTTAAACGAGGGAGAAGTTTGGAATGGTTTGTTAGGAGAGAGACCCCTCTTGAGAGTGATAGCAGATAAAATGAGAAGAAGAAATGAGACTATAAAGAACTCTCCTTTGTATCCATAGTGCCTGGCATGTTACAGGGGCTTAGCAGATACTGAAAAAATAAAATAATAATTAAAAAAAAATATATATATATATCTGAAGGGCCGAAACATACTTAAAGAGACACTGCTAGTTCTGAAGTAGGAAAAAAGGGATGCGGTTCAGTTCTGTAAGCATCTGGGGATATTGCTACTTGTCAGAGTGAAGGACAAAAAGATGACTTTTGCCTTCTTGGGACTTCAAATATATGTAAAGATGGTTCTTGCCTTCTAGGGTCCTTTCATATACATAAAGATGCGTATATTAAATACACAATAAACTCAATTCTGGCATTAGCTGAAATTTTACCCAAAAGGTTCTTAACTTGAAGGCCTAGGACTAGCCACAGAAAGTTTTATGAACCCCTCAGAATTCAGCATATACCATCATTTATAGTGTAAATCAGGGCTGGGGAACATCTGGCACACAGGCTGTATAAAGCCCGAGAAATTATTTGGTCTGGCTCTGCCAAGGCATTAAAGGTGAGTTAATTAAATGTTTGACCAAATATAGCAGGCTAGTTTTTGAGTTGATATTTTGTAAGGCCCTTGGCAGAAAAAAGGGTTCCTTACCCCTGCTGTAAGTGAATGTGAACTTGTGTTTTCTGGTGAGGAAAAGAATCAATGGAAAAAATATCCTTGGGTGAGGTTTAACTACACAAAAGCAAAAAAGAATAATTATTCCTTTTAAACCTAATTTTCTTTAGAAAACAATTAATACTATATACTTCTTTTCCCTGTTACTGATTTCCCCTTCATTAGCCACCTAGTTTTTTTTACCTTTCCTTTAAGGCTGGGAATAAAATCTGGACTGGTAACCCAAAACATCCTTGATTCTTTTCAAATTGTTAATAGACCTTCCCCATACAGAACATTCTGGCCCTGGACAGTGTGGCTCAGTTACTTGAGTATAGTTCATGCACTGAGGTCACAGGTTCAATTCCTGGTCAGGTCATATGCCTGGGTTTGGGGCTTTATTCCCATTGGGGGCATGCAGGAGGCAGCCAGATTAGTGATTTTCACTCATCATTGATGTTGCTATCTCTCCCTCTCTTTGTCTCTGAAGTTAATCAAAACAAAACACAAACATTAAAAAATCAATTAAAAAAAACACTTTAAAAAATTCTGAATATCAATACATTAGAGTAACTGGTAACCCCTAATATCTTTTGTTTCATAAACAAGTGTAACAGCTTCCAGTCCTTAAGACTCTAGGCCTCAAGTTTTTTTGTTTGTTTAATATTTTATCGATTTCAGAGAGGAAGAAGGAAATAGAAACATCAATGATACATGAGAATCATGGATTGGCTGCCTCCTACACGCCCCCACCCTGGGGATTAAGCCCACAACCTGGTCATGTGTTCTTGACAGGAATGGAACCTGGGACCCTTCAGTCTGCAGTCCAGCTCTCTATCTCCTGACCCAAACCAGATAGGGCTCAAGTTTTTGTTTTGTTTTTAATCCTCACCCAGGGTATTTTTTCCATTAATTTTTTTTTTTAAGAGAGAGTGAAGGGGGAAGGGAGAGAGAGAAACAGAGAAATATCGATGAGAGAGAGTCACATCGATTGGTTGCTTCCCACTGTGGATTGAAGCTGCAACTGAGGTACGTGCCCTTGACAGGGAATCAAACCCAATACCCTTGGTCCACTGGCTGACGCTCCAATCACTGAGCCAAACTCACTAGGTAGACCTCAAGTTTTTAATACTAAGAATTGTAAGGCTGTCTTGTCTCAGACTAAAGAAGTTTTATGCCTGTTTTTACCAACTAAAAAAGAAAAGCAAAAATGTTTTTTGTATGTTTATGGTATACTTGAAAAATTCATTAAAATTTATTTTGTGAATTCTCTAGAAATTTTTGAGGTTATTTAAAACAACATAGCTATAAAACTAAATTTGTCACTTACTTAAATAATCCAAAAAGCAAGAAATTAGATTTGGAAGTGGCCAAAGTAGATCTCTTGATATGTTATAAGAATAAGAGTTTTTTTCTTCCTCTTGGGATTTCTTCCACTGACAGTAGAAAATTTCAGTCATTGCTGAATTACATTTGAGTAGCTGTAGTAGTGTTTAATGTACTTCTGATTGAAGAGTTCTGTGTATCATTAGTAGAAACAAATTAGAGTGGTTGCCTGGCTCATGGTGATTATATCAGTAGCAAGTCTGTGCCAGTCCCATCTTTTGGTAAATAGGCCTTCTGAAAATACAGAAACTGCCAATCATATTAACCTTTCTTTCTCTCTTCCTGCTCCACCTACAGTGAATCTATTAACAAGATTTTAAAATTAGGATTTGAAAAGTCTACTTTTCCTTCCCTGGTGCTTTACTACAAAGTCAGAAATAAGCCACATAGGGTGTCGCTGAGATAGGAAGATTCCTGACAGCCAAAGAAATCCTAGCTCCAGTTTTCCCCAAGGTCAGCTCTGTTGTGATCCTAGTAATGTATCCCACAGTCCCCCTTTTTTGCTTAAACTAGCAGTAGTTGAGCTAATGCACTCTCATAGATTCCTACTTTCATGCCAAATAACTATTATTTTTACCAGTTTTCATCATTTTCCCCCTTGTTAATATTTTGTCTATTGAAGTGAATAATATTAACTATCCTGTGGAAATTTCTGAGTTTCAATAAAACTTAATAAGTTTGGGTAGGATTTGTAATTAATTTAGATAATTTTTTGTAAATGGTAAAAGTTTTTTGAAATGAAGATTGTATGATATATTTTTATTATCTTGTGGATTTTTTTATATCTAAATATGTATAACACTAGAGGTCCAGTGCATGAAAATTAATGCTCTGGAGGGGGGGGGGGGGATCCTCAGTCCAACCTGCCCCCTCTCACAACCTGGGAGCCCTCAGGGGCGGGAGGTGACCCTGCAATCAGGAGAAGGCTGCCCCATCACACCTCTGCTGCTAACACTGCTGACAGCATAAGCCTCATGTGGCCCTGGGCACCTGGGTAGCCGACATCTGAGGCTTGCCTGCACCTTGAGCGTTGGCTGGGCAGCTGCATTCCAAGGCTTGCCTATGTCTCGGGCCAGCCCTGGGCGGCTGGGGGGCAGAGGGGACTGGGATCTCCAGAGGCTGGCATGCAGCTGAGGGATCTGGGTGCCACCATCTGTAGCTGTGGATGCTGCCATCTTTGCGACAGTGTGAGGGTCAATTAGCATATTCCCTCTTTATTATATAAGATTCCTGGTTAGTTTAATGAGAAAAGTAGGTAATGATGAAAAAAGGATTCTATGATACTAGAGGCCCAGTGCATGAAATTTGCCTCCCTTTCTTTCCCAGAGCTTCCCTCCCTTCCCAGCCAGCCTCAGCCCCTGGTAAAACTCTCAGATAAACTCCCAATTGAGGGGACAATAGGCATACTACGATTTTATTATATAGGATATTGTTTGTCATAAACTCATTAATATTGGGTGATTATAATTAATATTGTCAAATTATCTGAACTTGATTACTTTTATTAAAATTATAAATGTTAATTAGTTGTGCTAAAAAGCAATGTTCAATATTTAGTATGATTATTCAACTCTCCCTGGACTGGAAAGAAGTGGCTTCAACTTCTCTGAAACCAACAGAAGAGACAATGCTGCTCCCTGGGCCAGGTCTTCAGACCCATCTTTGAGGCACATTCTTCCCTATTCTTGAAGGATAACACATGTTTGAAACTGCATAGCTCTACTGGCCCATCCCATAGAATCCCAGAAGTCCAAGAGCCTGCCTTTATTTCATCTCATTTGTGTCCTCTTCAGTCCAAGCTTGGCAGCATTTCTGCTAGTATAAGATTCTCAAAAATGTTGTTCCGTGCAATTCATGGTGGTGCAAGCCATCCAAGAGAGTCCCCTGCAAATCTCTCCTAGATAAACAATCTCTATTCCTGGTTTCTGTTGAGATGACCGATTGGATCAATATATCACAGCCCATAATCTCTTTAGCAAAAGATTGCCCAAATCACCCAAACCTGGGTAGTCTCTTCAGAACAAGCTATCTCCTTTTTTGCAATATAGATAAGCTGAGTATTTTCTAAAATCTTCAACTTTTTGGATTCTATATTTCTTAATAACTTTAATTTATCTCTCCTTTCACATTTTACTCTAAGTAGCAAAGGGAAATCAGGCTGCATCTTCAAAACTTTGCTTAGAAATCTCCTGACATAAGTATTTGAGCTTATCAC